CCATATATTAGGGATTGTTGGTAAATCAGTTGATGAGGTTGTCAATCTTCATCGACTGAAGTGGTTGAGCCACGTGTTATGTATGCCTGAACACCGATTACCACGACGTGCAATGCTAACCGGTGTTCGAGATGGTTGGAAGAAAGTTTAGGGGCTGCCAAGCCAAAATGTGCCATCAGTGGTTGAAGTTACTAACTTGTGTTGTGAGCCATGTTGATAGATGTAGATTACTTGGTTACGGTCCGCGTGACTATCGTAACCAGTGGTTGGAGATTCTGGGTGACATGGTTCAGAATCGATCACAGTGGTGTAGGTGTATACACTGTCTATCTTCCTTAAACTAAGAGATTAAAATCGCTTCATATCTTTCTTTCTACGTACTAATTCTTTCTTCCTGTACTATATCCTTGTATGCAATCTTTCTTTTATATATTACCACCACTGAATTAACTACTATGAATTCGCTGTTCATCTTGGTGTATTATGACAACTTTGACCGATGTATGTATGTGCCTGGTCCTACGTTGTAGCTGACTGAATGACTGAATCCATATACACATGAATAAATGAGAACATCATAACCATTGTATTTAATACGCCTAAAAAGATGTATTTTTCCTTTTTGCTATTTCTATTAACTGCTTTGATATATACATTATAGAAATACAATATATTGATTAAGAAATCCGATTATAATCTACCCCTGGTTTTACTTTGTTTAACGGAAATCAATAAATTTGATCTATTCTCCGTATGTTTTTCTAACCGTCTTTGTTGTTGTTGTTGTTGTTATAGATCAATATAATCTAATTGTCATTTTTCTTTTTAGGCTTAATGAAAATTACAAACAATTATGTCTTATTTTAGAATCTATTCATATGATATTAGAGATTTATTATTATTATTATTTTTAGTTACAGTCACACTACTTAGATTATAGATTTGATGTTTTATTTATTACCACCTATCAATTAAGATCTGATTGTGTTACTAGGGTTTCACTTATTATTATGATCTCTAACATCTTTTTATCTCATATGGTTTTTAATTGTAAAAATTATAGAGCAGTGGCTGAATGGTTAAATGGTGGCCCCCCAAGTACCCTGGTACGGCCTAGGGTGGGGAGAGTCAGCTCTCCCTCTTGAAATGCTCTCACATGGTCACGTGTATACAGTCATTGTCGAAAAAGTGCTACTCACTGCCTTCTCGAAGTAGGGGTGTTATTTACGAATTTGAGAGGACGAAAAGCGAATGTCCGGTGCTTTAACCGGGTTGGTGGATATGGAGGATCCACCTAGAGGAAGTTGGGAAACCTTTATTTTGTTGGGGTTTTGTTCTCTGATCTGGATGGTTTGATCGTGAAGCTTCTACCTGAAGTTTGTACTGTTGATATCGTTCAGAAGAACGATCACTCACCTGAACTACAAAACCCTGATTCCAAACCAATGATGCACTTGGGCTCTAGGATCCTGAAGGAACAAATGGCGTGTAAACCAATTATTAGTCACCGGCTACTATGAGACTGTATGTCCTAAAGTTCCTCCACTGTCTTGTAGATCAGACCTTTAGGTTGAAGGCTCGGAGTGTGACCACTTAAGAAAACCACCTGCTTCTGTTTGGGCACCCTAGCAGTATCACAGCCCACACACAAACCAAGTGACTTGTGTGGCGCATATATATTCGGTGCCCCTTTGTACCAATATATATGTGTTTAAATAATAAAAGAATGATTAAAATGTTCGTTCTCAACCGATAGGTCTCAGATTCGAACCTTGTTCGACTCGATTTAGTAGTATCATTGAGTCTTGCATAGAAAGAATATGGTTCGACGTCGGAATGCATATAAACTTGTGTTTTGTAAATGACTTAATATATTTATTTATTTACTTGAACACATAAATATTGGTACAAGGGGGCACCAGATATATGTGCGCCACACTGGTGCGTGTAGTTTCAGAAAAGCTCTTTAAGTATTCGTATTTGAGGGTAGCATTCAATTTTCAACCAGTCAGTGACTCGAGAACGTTTAGATAGAACCGAGTTTCCACCATAGGCAAGCTGCTGTATAAGTTGAAAAATAAGGATACACAAAATGGGAATAAAAGAGGGTGAATAAGTGACGTAGTAAATAATAACAATAACAACAATAATAATAATAATAATAATAATAATAGTGTGAATTGTTTGACTGTTAATCGAAGCGAGAATAGTATTTTCAGTAAATGTCGCCGGTGGCCAACAATTGGTTCCTTCAGGATACCGGAGCTCATGTGCACCATTAGTTTGGAATAAAGATTTTCTAACTCCCCTATGTGGACTCTCGGTGCTCATCAACCCAGTTAAAGCTCAGGAAATTCGCTTTTCGTCCTCTCAATTTGGTAAACAACACCCTCGCCACGAGAATGCAGTGAGTAGGACTTCCTTGGCACAGGCTATATACGCGTGGCCGTATGAGAGCATTTCGAGAGTGAAAGCGATCCCCCTCCACTCTCGGCCATACTAGGGCATTTGGGAGCCATCTATTTGATAAGTGGATAAAATGGAATCAAAATTTGTTCTTTTTTATGAAATTGAATGATCTTGGTAATTGAATAAATCTATATTAATTATCTATTTTATTGGTCATAATGAATATTAACCGATTAAATAGATAAAAGCAGAAAGAAAAAACGAAAGAAGAAAAGAAAGAGATTGTTATAATCTCTTTAGTTAAGAGTTGAGTTCTCAGGTCAATTCACTATCAATCAATTTAGTGTATGAATATCATAAACAAAGTTTTAAGTTATTTTATTATTCATAAGATTTGATTGGTATATCTCTAGAATATTTGGATAGTTGTAAGCTTTAAAACCTATTATTCGTATATGATTTCGTGGCATATATCTTAAAGACCCTGAATGCCCTGGTGTGGACGACGGTAGGAAAGTCAGCTCTTTCTCTCTAGATGCTCTCATATAGCCACGTGCATAGAACTACTGCTAGGGAAGTACTACTCATTGTCCTACACACAAACCAAGTGACTTGTGTATCGCATATGGATTTGGTGTCCCTTTGTACCAATATTTATGTGTTCAAATAGAAATATATCTTGAATCTCCACGAGTTTCTTACGAAAATTTAAGTTCTTTTTATTCAATGCTACCATAAGATATTACTACTTTCGTATTTTCATTAATTATCTAATTCATTTGCCTTAGACAAATGCGTGTATTTAGCTTCAAGCCACTCTCCAATCTAAGAATTGATGATATTACCTGGTAGTCCAAATCCTTCTGAGACAACGATGATCAAACACAGAGAGTCGTGTAACGTCCTCAACTCGCAGAGGCCAGGTTTCACAAGCATAGAGCAAAACTGCTCTCACCGACGCGTTGTAAATCCGACCTTTTACAACCAGACTGACATCAGGAAGGCGCCAAAGATGGCCCAGACTGGCATAAGCCGCTCTGGATTTCATTATACGTGAATCGATCTCACCACTCAACAACTACATAAAGATAATTTGAATGACAAGCTTATCAGTTGTTTGTTTATAATAATGTAAAAGTGTTTGGTATACCATATCTTTGACTTTTGAATTCTTACGTTTCCATCCCAATTTGTCCCCAGTGACTAGTTGACTTGATTCCTCCTATTTCTCTATACCCTCCTTTAAATAGTTAATGAAATTTTTTTCTACTATTTTTCTTTGTTCTGGGGAATGTTTTGTAAGAATATGTCATCTATGTCTAATATTGTAATGATATATTTCAACGCTTGAACCTTATTGTCTTGTATACGTTGTTGATTTATTTAAAGTGTTACTTAAATTGTCTATTTATAAGTTTCAATAGTTGAAATCATTAGTCAATTGAAGCTAGACCAGCATGGAAAACCAGGAAGCACTGGACGGCCGTTTTGTCCTAGTATGGGACTCCTTAGCAGTGGTGATCTGGCTTCAATTGCCTCATGATTTCAACTACTGAGATTTCTAAAGTCTCCGAAAAACCCCTTCTGATATTTATAAATTGTTAAACATTACTTCAGATTGTCTATACCTCCATTCAATAGCTCCTAGTTTTTATCCCTATCACCGTCACTTTTCTTTATGTAACAGTGAATATCATTAGAAAAAAGGAGCTAAATTGTAGTATTGAGATGGTGGAGAAGATTTTTAGCTCAGGTGGAGTATAGTTGTAGTATAATTGCAGTGAACAAGAACACGACTGGGGATAATTGAATGTATTTGACAAGAAATTACAGAGCATCTCATTAACATTTGAGAACCATATAGTGTAAATAGTTAATTTGCAAAATATCAATCCATCGTCTCAATCTAGACTGTTCCTTTTGTAAATATTAATCCATTGTCTCAGATTTCATTGTTTATGCATTTTCATACCAATCGCGTTCCGTTCCTATTCTTTCCTTACCGATTCTCTACTGAAATACATTCTATGCCTGACCATCGTTATATACTACTTATATGGATATAAGTAACCCACACCACACTACTGCATTATATTAATCTCTTGTGCTATTTCCATACTATCGTGCTAGTGTGGTATGACCACTTGAACAAACACCCAAGTCAGACTATGTATGTTGATGATGCCTTTCTTGATAAAATCAGTATAATTTGACATGGAAATATAGTACAAAAGTGAATGAATCCAAGATTCTCAACTGGAATACATTCTATGCCTGACCACCTTTATATACTACTTATATGGATATAAGTAACCCACACACTTGACACTTGATTATCTTACCACATTTTTATGTTTTGTTTACTTTTTATAGTTTTTTTTTTAAATGCTGAAAACTTTATAGTCTAATACTTTCCTTTTTTTTCTTACTACAAACAAACAATCAAACCAACCAAACAAACAAACAATCAATCAAACTGAAACAAACCAAACAACCATCATTCAAACGAAACGAACAAACCCAACAAACAAACAATCAAACCAACCAAACAATCAATCAAACTGAAACCAACCAAAAACAAACACATATAGCTTCTTTTACAACTTCAAGCATTAGAAAGTGGTTATCGTCGTTTACCACATTCATGTGATACAGAGAAATCTCGTATGATTATATGTAAAAATCCAATTAATTGTCCAAATTATTATCCACGTGAACCATTAACTGGTACTGATAATGAAGAATATTATATGAAATTAGATGCACAAACATTATTTTTTATATTTTATTATTTTGAAGGTACTAAAGCACAATATTTTGCTGCTAAAGCATTAAAACGTATGTCCTGGAGATTTCATACAAAATTTATGATGTGGTTTCAACGACATGAAGAACCTAAACAAATTACTGATGAATATGAATCTGGTTCATATATTTATTATGATTATAGAACAATGAGACAACGTAAAAAAGAAGAATTTATGTTTCATTATAGTTTTTAGAAGATAAAGATTTTTAAACTAAACAACTTCTTGTTATTGTTGCTGTTGTTGTGATTTATCACATATCTCTACCCCTTAAACAACATAAGTAACTGTACAATTGACTTGTGTATTGTATAAAAAAAAGGAGGGAGTGAGAGAGAGGGGGGAAGAATAGGTGCTTTCACATTTGTTTGTTTCTTTGTTTGCATTTGTTTGCTATTTCATTGTGTATTTCTCTTGTTTTCTTTTCTTTCCTTTTATTTTTCCCTCCCCTCCTCTCTCCCCCTCCCTTCTCCATTTTCCTTCAGTTATTACATAAATGCAGCTATTTACAATCTTTTGAACTGTTGATTCATTCTTCTCTCTTTTGTTGTTGTGTGTATAACATTATTATTATTAATATTGATAATTGTCAGTGATATTATTAGTACCAATATATATATAATATTATTTATCAGTGTTTCGTCGCTCAAAACTCTTTCTTCATCAAGTGTAAATCAATCAAATTCATAGAAATAATTAGTCAATCACAAATGTTTATTATTTCCCAATGTGTATGTGGGTGTCTCTTTTTTCTAATCTTTTGTCTTTATCAATGAATTGTGTAGAAATTGTTTTCTTTTTTGTTGTTGTTGTTGTCGGATTAGTGTAATTTCTCCGCTTCCTTTATAGTCAGAACTTATATATATATGTATGTATGTATGTATATTGTAATGTATATGTAAATGTGCATAGAAACAACTGAACTGCATTTAAAACACATACTCGATATATATATATATATATTTTCACTCCAAATCAATAAAGTTTTCTTTTTTTTTGATTTTTTTCTTTGAAGAAAGAAGAAAAAAACAATCGATAAATGCAAATAAATATTACATAGAAATACTAGTTCTATCTTTTATTGTTGTTGTTATTATTATTTCTTATATATATATTTATAACTTTGCCATTCAATAGATTATTCAGTATGTTTTGATAAGTTTCAATTCACTTAGTATTATTATACTTGGATCTATTCATTGATATCTTTCGGATTGGAATTGATCAATCTCTTATAAGTGATTGGTATTTCATTCTGTTTGTGTGTGGGCTGTGATACTGCTCGGGTGCCCAGACTGAAGCAGGTGGTTTTCTTAAGGGATCACACCTCGAGCGTTTGATTTAAAGGTCTGACCGACAAGGCAGTGGAGCATTGTGAGGAGATGTATTCCCATGGCAGCCGGTGACTAACAATTGGTTCCTTCAGGATACTGGAGTCCATGTGCACCATTGATTTGGGATCCGGTTAAAGCGCCGGACATCCGCTTTTCGTCCTATCAATTTCGTAAACAACACCCCTGGTAGGAGAAGGCAGTGAGTAGGACTTCATTAGCGGAGGCTGTATACACGTGGCCATGTGAGAGCATTCCGTAAGAGATGGCGGGCCCATTTCACTCTTGGCCATACCAGGGCATTTGGGGGCATATGTGAATCCTGTGCAGATTGCCTCGATATAGCCTTAAATCACAAGTATTATAAGGAAAGATGAATGGTGGCTAATAGTGGAATCCAGGATGCACGTTTTGTCTTATCTTGGGACTCGTCGGCTACATGTTCTTGCATCTCAGAGTTGTTGTTCACTTTGGAACTCGGACCCTGTACCGTTCGGTTCAAACGCTATCGCGTTATACACTTAACTACTGATTTCTGATAGCTACTTGCTTGTGCAATGGGGTGAAGTTTAAATTCACTTGGTATTATTTTACTTGGATCTTTACATCTATATTTAAGACTGCGACTGATCAGTATCTTATTGTCATATATGTGTACTGTGCGTATTACCCCGATATTGTCTTTATTCACAAGCATTGTAAGCAAAAATAGATGGTGGCCATTAGAAAAATCTAGCTGGGACGCGGGTTCCGTATTATTTGTGACTAGTTAGTTGAATGTGCTCACACCGCAGAGTTGATATTCACTAACCATCTTTGCTTATAAAAGTTGTCAAATAGTCAAGACTCATGAATTTAATTATAAACCATTTGTCAATTTCGTATCACCCAAGATATTCAGTCAGTCAACTACAACGTAGGACCAGGCACATATATATATCGGTCCAAGTTGTCATACTTCATTAACACAGCACATACCCACAAAGCTCAATATGTTAATGTAGATTTCTTATTTGTTGTACTACTGAAGTTGTGTACCTTTAAAGGCTGATGTTCTTTGTCCAAATAAACAATTAAATCACTGATTAGGATAACAAAGATGAATACATATTAATGACTAAGTGTTATTCTGTTGGGGACGTTAGATCCCAGAACTCACTTGGGAAAGGACCTAATTCTGTAATTTTATTTAGAAAATTTGAATTTCTTTGGTTCCGCGCCAAAGGCGCTCTTATCACCTACATGTCGTATTTCCCACTGGGAAGTATCTTAAATGCTATTGGTCCGTTGCGTCGTTTAGTATGCTGTTTGGTAACTCTCCCCAAGAACTGTTTTGTACTGCATATATATGTTTTGGATTGTGTTTGTTGTTATCGCTCGTTTCTGGCAGTTTGCAGAATATACTTCCCCATTCCAAGCTTGCACTTCTTCCTCTAGTTAGCGGACTGAGATTCATCAAATAGCTAGCTTACTGGTCTTTGGTTACCGAGTCTTGTTTTCGTTCGCAAATTAAGTGAACTCGTGAAGCTTCAACCCTAGCATATAACAGTAGTGATGAATCGCTCAGAATCGAGCAAGTGGGTTTTCACGCTGATCATAAAAGTGACTGAATGAATTGTATGGAGTTCCAATTGTTTAAAATTCTTTTTTGTTGTTGTTACCATAAAGTAAAAGTGATAATTTGATAACGTACGTCAACTGGTTACTTTATGGAATACAGTTTGTACAATAAATGATTGTTTCAATTTACTGTCTTATTGGTATACTTGAGTTGTTAAAGTAGATGATGTTTTCACTTATGACTTATTCTCTCCTAACTTTTGAATACATTAGTATGAAGCATATTATACTTGAATCTTCCGATTGATGTCTTTAGGACTAGAATTGATCAATCTCCTATAAGCATATGTGGATCCTGTGCAGATTGCCTCGATATAGCCTTAATTCACAAGTATTTATAAGCAAAAATAGATAGTGACTAGTCGTGGAGTTCTGGTTCGAGCCCGGTGTGGACATTAACTCTGAGAGGCAGGTGCATCCAGTTGACAATTCCCAAATACGACAAAACGTGCATCCTAAATTCCACTGCTAGCTACTATTCATCTTTGCTTCAAAACCATTGAAATCTTGTTTAGTGATTTTTGAGCAGTTTACTCTGGATTCATAGTTCCAAAGTACATACCTTATTGTACTTCACTGAAAAGTTGCGTCGTATCACTGCAATCCTTATAAAAAGTATAGCGGAAAGCTGAACATATAAACCTTGTCCTAATGAATGAGTTAACTTTCTGGTCAAAATCATGCTAAAACTATTTATTCTTTGTGGTTGAAAATGTTAGTTGAATAATAAAGGATTCCAACAGGACAATTCTTTCTACTGCATAAAAGAAAAGCGTAAAAATCAGCGGCTTATCCTGTTCTTTTATGATACATCCATTCAACGTGATTGTTTGTCACACGAACATCATGTAGAGATATGGATTGTTTGATATTGCGTTAGTGTTATGGGATTGTAGTAATAAGGTGTTGTCGTTGTATGCTTAGATATCACTGTGTTGATTGATTACGATAGTAGAATTCAGTGAATTCCTAGATGTCGAAGTCATAAGCATCTACATTATGAAATGTAAGCTATGTTAAGGGAGTCCGAGTGATTGATTATTGAACATCTGTAAAATGTTAAATGAAAGTACTTTGCCATTCCACGTATTCTTTGTTTGAGAGTAACTACTTAACAGGCATAAACTGAAGTGTTAATTTGTTGCGAATTAAGCGTACTGATAAGCAAACGTCCTACTGTGCGATATGTTCTGTGGGCAACTTGAGTGACAGTAAAAGCATATTGTAAACATCTTTTACTTTCTCAAAGTGCGAAATGTCACTTCAAGACTGTTCTGTGTTAATAATTAGTCTGTCCATACGCAGTGGAGTAGTCGAGATCATCCATGCAGGTTGTTGTGATGATTTCTTAACATTGATAGGTCATCTCAAGTACAAACAATCTGTTTAGATTCTGCAAATGTATGTCACAATTTCAGCAACTAAGTATCCGTTTGTTTATCAAATGCCGATTATACTGCTCAACATTCTTCGAAGTATTGACCGTCTACAATGCAATCACATGTTGAGAAATCAAGCAGTATTAGAAATGCATCCATTCTTTAATTTTTCACGAAATCCTAAATTTAAAATTGTTTATTTTATATTTTCCATCCTCTACGTTCATTCATAACCTTTGGACTACATTCCCCACGTCTGATTTTTCACTATCAATGGTATTATTTCTTCATTCTACCTTGTTATTTTGAACATTGCCCATGTAAAATGTAACAACTTGGATTTATATACACCGAATAGGGTCATATGTTATTGACCTGCGATTATTTAATTTTATGCAAGTTACTAAAGTCACATCTATCCAATTAACTATCAATAGTCATAATTTTAATCTATGCTTGACTATGTGTATGTGTAGCATTGTAGTGTGGCGTTGAGTCGCGGTTGACTATTATCACCACTACAAGAAGCTTGCGCACCAAACATCCGAAGGCAATTGAAGGTTGTAGCTAAGTATATTTGTTGGTGATCTCGTGGTATCGAAAGAATACCGAGATCATACCGAAGGAGTACAAGCGGATTTACTGAGCAAACGTAAGTGCGTGCAAGGTCACAACCAACAGAAGGAAGAATAGAAGAATAATGGATGTCTTTAGTACAGTTAAACAAACAATTACAGTGAAACAATCACTGGTACAATTGGTTATGATAATAATTGTTCCCATTAAACCAATCACGTTCTCTTGATAAAAGTAGATGACTACAGGAGCCCCTCGCTAGGAAGGGTTTACACTTTCGATAGGTAGC